TCAAGGGATTCTCTTGCCTCAGCCTCCTGGTATCTGGGACTATAGGCACCTGCCATGATACCCTACTAGTTTTTCTATTTTTTAGTAGAGATAAGGTCTCACTCTTGCTTAGTCTGGTGTCTTTGACCTGCCTGGCTTCTTTTTTTTTCCTTTCTTTTTCTTTCCTTTCCTTTTTTTTTTTTTTTTTTTGTGAAACATAGTCTTACTTTGTAGCCTCTGGTAGAGTACTATGGAGTTGTAGCTCGCAGCAACCTCAAACTCTCAGGCTCAAGCCATTCTCTTGCCTCAGCTTCCTGAGTAGCTGAGACTACAGGCATCTGCCACAACGCCCAGCTATTTTTTTTTTTTTAGAGATGGAGTCTCCCTCTGGCTCAGGCTGGTCTCAAACCCATGAACTCAGGAGATCTGCCCACCTCGGCCCTCAGAATGCTGGGATTATAGGTGTGAGCCACTGTGCCCAGCCAACCTCCATGGTTTCTTAATCTGTAGTTTGATACCCATAACACAGTGGTTATGGTGCCAGCCACATACACTGAGGGTGGTGGGTTCAAACCTGGCCTGGGCCAGCTAAAAAGAACAATGACAACTACAAGAAAAAATAGCTGGGTATTGTGGCAGGTACCTGTACTCCCATCTTCTTGGGAAGCTGAGGCAAAAGAATCGCTTAAGCCCAAGAGTTTGAGGTTGTTGTGAGCTGTGATGCCACGACACTCTACCAAAGGCAACATAGTGAGACTCTGTCTCAACAAATAATAAAAAAAAAGTTAACATCTGTAAGGGACATGGAACAATGCCAGCCATATAAATATGCTATAAATATTAGCAATGGTTGGTGTTATTATAATCTTATATTTACTTGTGTGATTCTTTGATTAAAGTCTATCACTAGGCCGAGCCTGGTGGCTTACACCTGTAATCCTAGCAGAAATACACTATAAATATTAGCAATGGTTGGTGTTATTGTAATCTTGTGTGAGTCTTTTTTTTTTTTTTTTAGGACTATTTTCTGTTCTCAGACCTCTGGCCAATTGTGAGGCACTTCCCCAAGACCACCTGCCTGCAGGACAGGAAAAGCAGCTACTTGTGTGAGTGTTTGATTAAAGTCTAATCATTACAGGTGGTGGCTCATACCTGTAATCCTAGCACAAGTACCCTATAAATATTAGCAATGGTTGGTGTTATTATAATCTTAAATTTGCTTGTGTGAGTCTATGATTAAAGTCTGTCACTAGGCGAAGCCTGGTGGCTCACACCTGTAATCCTAGCACCCTGGGAGGATGAGGCAGGTGGATTGCCTGAGCTCAAGTTTAAGACCACCCTGAGCAAGAGACCCAGTCTCTAAATATAGCCGGGTGTTGTGGCGGGCTCCTGTAGTCCTAGTTACTTGGGAGGCTGAAGCAAGAAAATTGCTTGAACCCAAGTGTTTGAGGTCGTTGTGAGCTGTGATGCCACGGCACTCTACTGAGGGTGGGAGATAAAATGTGAGACTCTGTCTCAAAAAAAAAAGTCTGTCACTGTCCTGTAAACACCATTAACATTGGTTAAAGTTTCCTTTTTTGCTATTTAATCTTTGTGTCTACCTAATGCAGATGCATATAGTATGTGTTCAATAAACATTTTGTTAAGGAATGATTACATCTATGGTATCATTTGAAATATATTCAATCTTTGTTTCCATCACAAAACTTTCTAATCCTTGAAAATTCATGAATGATAGGTGTGTCTTCTCTTATTCTAAATGAGTTCCTTTTCAACATACCTGATTTTATGTGAACGAGGACTTTAGAATGAATTTAGAGGACTCAGCAAGGGGCCAGTCAATAGAAAAATCAAGTGATTTAGAAAATTTTGACTATCAGCCCCACCCAACTACTTCTAGGAATTTGGGGGGAAGCTGGAGATTAACCTCTGTACATACTGTTGGTGGGTTTTTTTTTTTTTTTGAGATAGAATCTGACTGTGTTGTCCTCAGGAGGGTGTTGTGGTGTCATAGCTCACAGTAACCTCAAACTGGTTGTAGTTGTCGTTGTTGTTTGGCAGGCCTGGGCTGGATTCAAATCCACCAGCTTCGGTGTGTGTGGCTGGAGCCTAGCCACTGAGCTACAGGCGCTGAGCTGGGGGCTCCCTGTTTTTGAATGTGTGAATTGAATATACCAAGCACAGGAATAGCGAGATGGGAAACTGAACTTGCAATGAATGGATTCCATTGGAATGAAATGCAGATACCTCAAACTCACACATTCAAAACAAAAATCATTCCTTTCCCTTCCAAAATTCTGCCTACTTCCTATGTTCATTCATGTATATAGCAAAGACATCCATCTTTGAATAGAATGCTCTTGCTCTGAGCTTACAGCAGAGGAGACTATCATATAATCACAAAAATAAATGATTAATTACACATTATGATATTCTTATTATATTGAGACAGTCTTATTATGTGGCCCTCAGTAGAGTGCTATGGCGTCACAGCTCATAGCAACCTCAAATTCTTGGGCTTAAGAGATTCTCTTGCCTCAGCC